AGAAAGAAAGAAAGAAAGAAAGAAAGAAAGAAAGAAAGAAAGAAAGAAAGAAAGAAAGATAGGAGAAAGAGAGAGAGAGAGAGAGAGAGAAAGACAGGCAGCATTTGCTGACAGCAGAGAGAAATTCTGTTTTCCTTTCCATGATGGGCTGAAGAACAGCTGTAGTCTCCAAATTACAAAAGCCATGTTATTTCCATGATCATGAGACAATGATGTGTTTTCATCGTCATCATCATGGATTCTGTTGGAGATCTATGACCAGAGTCCGAAGCTCTCTGGACCTCCACCTGAGCTGAAGGGAGCCCATTCCAGGAGCCTCCAGAGATAGGTGCCTCTTTGCCGAAGCTCCTTACCTCACGTAGGAGACGTAGGTGCTCCACCGAAGGTAGGTTGGGATTGTCTTGAAACTGACAAAGAAGCCAGAAAGGAGAAGGACTGGAATCGCTGAAACGGGACCAACAAAAGTAGCCACCTGGGAGGAACATGGTGAGAGAGAAGAGCCATGTAAGATGGTTGGAAGAAGACCAAGATGGAGGCTGAAAACTCAGGATTTCAAATCTGGATATATAAACCAGCCTTCCACAGGTTGGGATCAATCCTAAGCCAGTTAGGTGTCATGGTCCTGTTTGTCCCAAGAGGTCAGGTGAGGAAAGCAGGTCAGAGTAGATGCCTCTGACTTATTTCCTTAGTTCTGAGGTCCAGGACTGCGATTTGTCTAATTGATGTAAGATGACATCATTTGAACAATGATGTTGCTTCTTCCCCTTTGAACTCTTAGGATGTTTCAAGATATATATTTTTTTTTAAAAAAAATGCATCTTGTGAAGACCCTGGTTTTGGAGCTGGGTTATTTTTCATCAACCCACAGAGATGATCTTGGAAGGATTCTGGAGGAACGTTGAGGAACTAATAGTGAAAAGAGATAATTTTTTGTTTCCAAGACCAACCATAGCAATTTTGGAATCTGTTTGCGTGTTCGTATTTATTCCTCTCCTCCACAAATGTTCAGATTTGGGCCTTTCTCAAGTGACTAAAATGACCCAAATGCCTTTCAAGAAGTGAGAAGACTCCTTGGCATGGTCTTCTACCTCAAAAGAGTGTGTTGTTGGTGTGTGTGTGTGTGTGTGTCTGTGTGAAACCACTTGCTTTAAAAATATTTTTTTAAAGAAGGACCTTGATTAGATCTTACAGTGTAGCTCTCTCTTTTTTGATCCTTAATTCCTTTTCGGGTGGGATCACGTTAGACTCTGGGGTGACAACTTGAGGTCCTGAACAGAGGTGGGTATTCAGCAGGTTCTGACAGGTTCTGGAGAACCACAGGTAGCAGAAATTTTGAGTAGTTTGGAGAACCAGCAAATATCACCTCTGACTGGCCCTGCCAACCCCGTCTCTTCTCTGCCTCCCATTGAGTCCCAACTGATCGGCTGGGTCTTCTTTGGTTGCCCTGCACAGGAGAATGGATCTGGAAAGCAGGTTAGTGGGGTGGGGAAGGAATGGGGATTTCGCAGTAACCTTCCCCTACCACGCCCACAGAACTGGTAGTAAAACAATTTTGAATCCCACCACTGCTCCTAAACCACCTTGGACCTTGCCGTAGACTCACTTGTGGTGAGCTGGATGCTGCTCCGATGAAGAGACCCACCGATTGGGCCACCAAGGTCGTGAAGGTGGCCAAGGCTGAGAATAGCAGGAAGCGGATCGCTTCGGGGGGCTGCCCGGTCATCCAGTAGACAATGCTACAGTAGGTGATGGGACAGATGATCTATAGAAGAAGCAGGGGAACCAATCAACCAGGACCTTATACCTCAGAGTAAAGTAGTTATTGGTTGAAGTGGCTCTCCGTTAAGGGGAGGCCAACCTCCTCCACCAAGGGAAGCAATCAACCCTTGACTCTACCACCTCACATAGTCCTCCACATAAGACCATTTGTTTAATAGCCAAAGTTGGGATGGCCCAGAAGAAAAAAGGACTTTGGGCCAATCCTCTCAGCACCATCAGAGTGTCCTGCGGTCATGTGGTCAAAATTCAGATATTTGGCATGTGTTCAGGGCTGCTCTGCTGGGGGTTCGCAGGGGTTCGGGTGAGTCTCTAGCTAAGATTCTGTGCAGTTTGGAAAAAAACCCAAATCCCCACTCCTGGCTGGCCCCTCCCACCCTGGCCCGTCCATCCAGGAGTCCCCACGTGGCCCGTTTCGGATTCAGGTAAGTGCAGGTGCACGTGGAAGCTCAGGGAGGGTGAAAAACGGGCCTCCCGGAAGTTCGGGAAGGCCGGAAATGGGCCCGTTTCCAGCTTCCAAAGAGCCTCCAGAGCCCGGGGAGGCCAAAAACACCTCCCCACTGTGGTGTAGGAGGCCGGCTAGGCCACGCCCACCATGGCCAGCCCACCCAGCAACCGGGCAGAGAACCCCTTGCTAAAATTTTTGAAGCCCACCCCTGCCTGTATTTATGAAGTTGTATCATCCCGGGGTCTTGCGATGGCCATTGTTGTCCTTCCCAGGGGGTCTTCTGAGCAAAGCAAAGGGAGTGGGGAGAGAGAAAGCCAGATTTGCTTAATGACCATGTCAAAGAAGGTGGTCATAAAATCAGGCATGGCTGATTTAACAAACGCATCATTCAGTGACGGAAGGACCGGTCCCAGTTGGGTTTGTAAGTCAAGGATTGCCTCTATGTTCAGCTGCACCTGTTGAACCTCAGTCTACTATCAAACTGTAAAAAAAAGAAAAAAGGAGTGGACCCCCTCCCAGTGGCAGAAATGGGGTGTGTGTGTGTGTCAGGATGAATTCCTCACCTGAAAAGGAACATCTGCTACAGTTTTAGCCAGAAAGTAGGCCTTTAGACTGTACCAGTAGTTGAGATGTTCTCGCAGAAAGACGGACATCTCCAGAGGGACTGTAAAAAGACACAGAGAGAGGGACAGAGAGAAGGAGGGTGGGAAGGAGAGGGAGAAAGAGAGAGGGTGGGTTTTTATATCCAGGCAGGGAGGAGGAGGAAGAATTGGTGCATTTGTATTGGAGGGAGCTCAAATGCTGGCAGTTCAGTCTTTATTGATTAGCCCAGGTGTCAGGATTCCGGCAGTTACTCCAGTTAAATCGTGAGCCTTGAGCCACACTCCCAAAACTAAAGAGGATTTATTTGAAGCTACCATTCTACGACTGGCACTAACCTGGGCATAGCCAACTCTGAGATACGTAATTCACTGTCACCACCCTTGATCCTGCTTTCCCCCGGCCCCTCCCGCCTCTGGGTGTATCATCCAACGAAACACATCCATAGCCAAGAGTCATCAATCATGCTCTCCAATTAGATTTTTGCTCGGCAAAAGCTTCAGTCATCTAATCAGTCTTCGAAGAAAATATGAATGGAATGTACTTTCGATTCCACACTGCCACCTGCAGTTTGAAACTCCCCCCTTCTTTCTGTTGTCAACTATAAAACGTGTATACAAAATGTTTTATGAGTTGACAGCTTGGGCCATATCAAAGTGCAGAGTTCCGGAAACAAATTATTATTAACATTTGATAAAAGCAGTTTGAAATGGAATTGGAATAAAATATGATTTAAAATGAAATTCGCAATAAAAGGCAGTCTAAAATGAAATTGGAATAAAATACAATAATTCAAGATAGAGATAAAAATATGATAAAATCATATTTCGGTATCTACCCCTGCAATCTACCCCAATCAATCCTGTATACGCCGATCTCAACCGAACCACTTTGCTTAAGTCCTGTGCTGTGTTAAATGTTATTTTTCAGATTCTGGACGCATGTAAGGTAGGTTGTTTTGATATGGGGATCCCAAATGGGTCATTTGTTTGGTGACCAAATTGCTGGCAGTCTGGGTCTCAAAAGGTTTTGGTGCCCAACTCCTAGAGAACATCTATTTTGAGGCAAAACTTTGACTTGAGCGAAGATCCCCCTGCTGTGTTCCAGACTGCTATTTCGCATCCCTTTGGTCATTTGTGCAACCTGGGATCTATCCCACAGCCATAAAAAGATCACAAATCTCTCCTTGTCATGCCACAGAAAAGAAAAGAGTGGAGAAGATACAAACCCACCCAGGCTGCTCAACAAAAGAAGACTGCAGATGTGTCTCTTCTCCAGCCTGCATAGTTCATAATCCCAATCCACCCTGCTGCCTTCATTTGCAGTGATACAGTTCCCAGCTGTTCCTCCACTCCCCTGTTCAGCAATCCAATATTTGTTGATGTGTTAAGCTTTTCAGTAGCTTAGTGCTAAGGTGACCAATTTTTTTTACAATGAGAAGGAGGACACAAATAAATGGAAGAAAGAAAAAAAAAGCAAAGCCACTTGCGCGCGGCGCACTCTCTCAAAACAATTATCCTGTGTGGAGCGCAGGCGTCTCATAATCGCATCTCACCACACGGTACCGAGCCTTGACGAATCATCGTGCCGAATACAAATACGTCACATCACACACAACGGATCGGATCGGCATCGATCAAATACGGAGATTTACAGATTAGTCTTCAAATATCCAAAAGGAGGACACGCAGGAGGACACTTTTCGAGAGAGGACAGAACTTACAAACGGAGGACTGTCCTCCCTAAAGGAGGACGGTTGGTCACCTTATCAGTGCATTCACTTGATTGATTTGCAAGGAAAAAAGAAAGTTGGATTAACAGGATGCCCCTGGATTTATCAGTCCTCCAATTCCTCTCGTTGATCAAGAACTCCAGTCCCCTAGCCCTCCCTCTCTGCAATGATATCACTCTCCCACCAGCAAGGCGTGGAGGCCCAAAAATAGACTTTAAAAAATGTCCCCACCCCAACCAGAAAACATCACGTCCTCCCGAAAATAAATGAAGTCCCAAAGACCTAACTCTTCTTCTAAGAAGTTCCCCTATCCTCTCTAAGCCTCTCTAGGGCTTCAAGTCAACATTTTCCTTCTCCCTGGGGGTCACCCAGAGGTCTCGCACAGAAGAGTCCTAAAGGTGCCAGGCTGTTCTACCAAGGGGCCCCCAACTCACAGGTCAGAATGGTGGGCATCAGAGCAGCAAACATGAGGAAGAGCATGGAGACGAACAGGAAGCCGGTGTTGTTGAAGACCTTGGTGGCATCGTTGCCGATGTGTAGGTAGAGGAGGCCGATCAACACCCCCGTGCAGATGTGAGACATGAACCTCAGGTGGGTGAGGAGCTGTGCAGAAACAAGAAGAGCCCTAAGTCATCTGGGGAAAGGATTTTTTCACCCCCAAAGATACTTTCATCTTCTTTGGCAAAGCGTTGGAACATCTTGAGAAAAAGCCACAGAACCTGTTCTGACCGAGGCTTCCCAAACTCACGAAGCGGACTCCTTGTTCTGACAAAACCCCTTTTATTTAAGCTAAATGTAAATTCCTATCATTCACATCAGCAAAGTCCCGGCAAACAGTCTTTCAAGAGCAATCTACAATCACAGACCTTATTAAGCTTGGAGAGTTGCCAGGCCGATAGCTTCCAAGCGCAATGCTGTAGCAGAAAATACTTGGCAAGGAGTCAAGTCTTCACCCAAATGAACTAATGGTCTCCTGCAAATCCCACTCCCCTTTTGCTCCTTTTTATTCCCTATGGGGGGGGGGCATTCACCGTCCACCTGTGCCTTTACTCCTGAGTTGACCCTTGTTCCTTAATTGTTCCCTTCTCCTGGCAGCTCTGCGCATATGCACACTGGGAACAGGCTCCAGCTGTTCTTCTGCCTCACTGATGTCCGATTCCAAAGGCAGCAGATAACTGCTGGATGGCCCTAGCCCCATTTCTGCCTATGAGACAGAGCCCTCGTCAGAGCCTTCCCCAGACTCCAGGACTGGCCCGTATTCATCCCCAACCTTGTCCGAGTCTGCCACCAGCTCCTCTAGCCGCTTACGGGCCACAACGGAACTGATCAGGCAAGCTACAATGGCTGACTTCCCACAACAGGTTGGGTTGAAAGCCAGTTGACCACTGGTGTTGAAGGAAACTCTTCTTTATCCCAGTGGGGAGATGGCTGAGAAACACCCTAACCTCTGGGCTCTTCTTGTATTTTCAGAAGCTGATGGATGCAATTTTTTTTTTCTTTTTAATTTTCCTGCTCTTGATCCTGGCAAGGAAATCGCATTTTGGGAAGCTGCCCGGGGTTGCCAAAAGAGCTCATAAAATCTCTGAACAAATGAAGAATAAAGACGACTTGTGCTGCATGAACCAAACCTCTCTGAACCCCACACAGCACAAAATATTCATTATTATTATTATTACTTGGTAAATGCAAGCCTATCAAATATTCATCTAAAGTGAAAGCCAGCCAGAATCTTGGGGCTGGACCAGGAGTAAATGTTGTGACTGTTAAAAACAGATCAATAAATAGGCTGGGAAGGAATAAAAAACACAATGATTATCAAGTCCTGGATCTTGAGTCTCTCTGAGGATCAGCTGCCTGGTTGGAGACCCAAATAGCAGCTTTATCTTAAAAGGGTTCATGGGAGTATGTGTGTGTGTGTGTGTGTGTGTGTGTGTGTGTGTGTGTGTGTGTGTTAACAAAAGTCAAGTTGGTGGCCACAACACATATAAACAATGGGTGGGGTTTTTGGTTTCTATGGCTACCAGCCTGACTTTTTTTGACCCTCCTGGAGATCCGCCTAGCTCCGCATCCTAAAGGCTCCAAAGATATTCCAGATGTTGTCACAGCAACTGAAAGCATCAGTGATGCGAAAAACAGAGACATGTCTTTCTTCCTTCTCCTTATCTCTCCTCCCTCCCTCCCTTCCTTCTTCCTCCCTCCCTTCTCCAACTGCCTTCCTTCTACTATCTCTCTCCTTTCCTTCCTTCCTTCCTTCCTTCCTTCCTTCCTTCCTTCCTTCCTTCCTTCCTTCCTTCCTTCCTTCCCTCTCTTCTCTGCCTTCTACTATCTCTCTCCTTTCCTTCCTTCCTTCCTTCCTTCCTTCCTTCCTTCCTTCCACCCTCCCTTCCCTCCCTCTCTTCTCCGCCTTCCTTCTACTATCTCTCTTCCTTCCTTTCTTCCTTCCTTCCTCCCTCCCTCCCTCTCTTCTCCACCTTCCTTCTACTATCTCTCTTCTTTCCTTCCTTCCTTCCTTCCTTCCTTCCTTCCTTTCCTTCCTTCCTTGCTTCCTTCCTTCCTTCCTTCCTTCCTTCCTTCCTTCCTTCCCTCCCTCTCTTCTCCGCCTTCCTTCTACTATCTATTTTCCTTCCTTCCTTCCTTCCTTCCTTCCTTCCTTCCTTCCTTCCTTCCTTCCTTCCTTCCTTCCTATCTTCCTCCCTCCCTCCCCCTGTCTCCATCCTCCACCTCATTTCTTCCTCCCTGACCCTTACCGTGTCTCTTAGGATGGAAATATAGCTCCTCTTGAAAAGGATGCAAAATTGAGTCAGGGTACTAGTTGCAAAGGTATGGCTCTCGATATGATCCAAATCCTGGGGTTGAGCCAGGAAGAGAAAGAAAAGGAGAAAGAGAAAGAGAGAAAGAGAAAGAGAAAGAAAGAGAAAGAAAGAAAGAAAGAAAGAAAGAAAGAGAGAGAGAAAGAAAGAAAGAAAGAAAGAAAGAAAGAAAGAAAGAAAGAAAGAAAGAAAGAAAGAAAGAGAAAAAGAGAAAGAAAGAGAGAGAGAGAAAGAGAAAGAAGAGAAAAGCGAGGGAGAGAGGGAGGGAGGGAGAGGGAGAGAGAAATTGGAGGTTAATAAAATCTCCCATCAATCCTAGCGACCTCCAAGGAAGACCTTATGACAGGGGCTCCCAACCTCTGGGGCACCAGGGACCTGTTCGCTGGAAAGCGTTTTTCTGGAAGGGTCACGGTTTCGTGTGCTGCCTCCACCCCACGGATGGGCCTCTGCTTGTTTGCATGGCCTGGTTTTTGGCAAGCCACGGGACAAACCGGTGCCAAGGTTGGGGACCCCTGCTCTATGACCCCTTTCCCGAGCGACACACAAGGGGGTGCACTTCAACTGATTTTTTTTTTTAAAAAATGAGAGGCTGAATGCAAACGGGACAACCTCAGAACCAGCAAAGCTGCCCTCACCTAGCCTGACGTGGTCTGGACTCCTGGCGTCTTGGGGGCTCCAGCTCTCAAAGAACCTGCCCCCCACTCCCCGTAGACCACTCACCGCCACACAAGGTCCCGGCACCAAGGAATCCATCTTCTCTGGGCTGCCCTTCTTCTCCTCCATGGTGCAGAGCCCATTCTGGACGGCTTGGAAGAGGAGTGGGTTGAGATCGCCGTATTCCCCTGAGGCCACCTCAATGACTGCAGAGGAGAAGACAGACGGAGGCACCTGGGGGTCACGCTTCTACCAAGAGACACTCAGCTCTACTCACCTTTCCCATGACCCAAGAATCATAGTTTTATTGTTTTCATGAATCAGCGAGAAGGTTTAGCATTCCACTTCAGGATCCTAGCGAACAACGCAACTGCAATTTAAGGTAAGCTTTTCTTTCACATATACGTGAAAACGTAACGCTTGGGGATCATCAGAAACAATTTAAAGTGGGGGTGGCCAAGGAGAAATTTTGAACCCTGAGCTTCTGAGCTGTTGACCTATTTCCCCATATGGAGGTTTGATTCCCCATTGCAAGACATCATCGAATGGAAGGTCCTAAGAAAGGGCTATATTGTTATAAATTTTTATAATGGGTTAAGGAGAGTAAAATTGGGGAAATGTATAAGGTAAAGGGGGGGTGGCAAGCTTGAATTGACAATGAAAGGGGATAAATTTTGGATAATAAGAATTAAGATGAATTTTATTGAACAACGAATGGAATAATAGCGTGTGATAAAACTTGCAAATGCGCGTAAGGAATATAGAAATTGAATAAGAATATAGATAATATTGTAAAATAAGGCATGAGGATATTTAAAGAACAATGAAATAAGTAATAATATGATATGAAATTGGATAGGAAAGCTGAATATGTAATCATGGTCATGTTTGTATTTGAAATGTAAAAACCTAGAACTACACTGTTCACGTAAAGAGATGTTTTTTAAAAGATAAAAATAAAAAATTTATTGAAAAGAAAACAAGAAGAAAGGGATGTACATTTTAGCCTTCTCTGGTGGCTTTCCAGAAGTGGACTAATCCCCAGAATGCTCCTTCTGACCTAAGTGTTGAGGAAAAGTGTGAGAATCCAAGCTGACCCAGATAATCAGAACCAGGGTTCCTCAACATGCAAAAGAGGGACTTCGATGGGTTGGAACAAAAGGGCTTCCCAGTCCAACATTGTAACATGTTTTCTATTCAGAATCACTCCGGTGTCCTAATAGGGAACCCACAAAGAAGTTCCTGAAAGTCATTCTTAGATCCAGAGCTCTGGTCCTCAATTCCCATCTGGTTGATGACTTCAGATCAAGCCATCACTAAGGGGCCAGATCAGGGGTCTTCAAACTCGGCAGCTTTAATACTTGTGGACTTCAACTCCCAGAATTCCTCCTCCAGTCATGTTAGCTCAGGAATTCTGGGAGTTGGAAGTCCACAAGTCTTAAACTTGCCAAGTTGGAAGACCCTTGATCTATTCTATTTATTCTATTTCTCTGTCTTTCTCTCTATCTATTCTACCTCTCTTTATCTATCTATCTATTCCAGGGGTCTTCCAACTTGACAGCTTTAAGACTTGTGGACTTCAACTCCCAGAATTCCTCCTCCAGTCATGTTAGCTCAGGAATTCTGGGAGTTGGAAGTCCACAAGTCTTAAA